AATGTCCTTATTGTGGTAAAGGTTTCAGTGACAATTCCAGCCTTGTGAAACACCAGAGGACTCACACAGGAGAGAAACCCTTTGAATGTCCTTATTGTGGTAAAGGTTTCTGTGACAGTTCTAGCCTTGTGAAACACCAGAGGACTCACACAGGAGAGAAACCCTTTGAATGTCTTTATTGTGGTAAAGGTTTCAGTGAAAGTTCTAGCCTTGTGGTACACCAGAGGATTCACACAGGAAAGAAACCGTTTGAATGTCCTGTTTGTGGTAAAGATTTCAATAAGAATTCCGACCTGGTAACACACCAGAGGACTCACACAGGAGAGAAACCCTTTGAATGTCCTGATTGTGATAAAGGTTTTAGTACCAATTCCACCCTTGTGAAACACCAGCGGATTCACACAGGAGAGAAACCTTTTGAATGTCCTTATTGTGGTAAAGATTTCAATAAGAATTCCGACCTGGTGAGGCACCTGAGGACTCACACAGGAGAGAAACCTTTTGAACGTCCTGTTTGTGGTAAAGGTTTCAGTAATAATTCCGACCTGGTAACACACCAGAGGACTCACACAGGAGAGCAACCCTTTGAATGTCCTGTTTGTGGTAAAGGTTTCAGTAATAATTCCGACCTGGTAACACACCAGAGGACTCACACAGGAGAGAAACCCTTTGATTGTCCTTATTGTGGTAAAGGTTTCATTGACAATTCCAGCCTGGTAAGACACCAGAGGACTCACACAGGAGAGAAACCCTTTGAATGTCCTGATTGTGGTAAAGGTTTCAGGACCAATTCCAACCTGGTAACACACCAGAGGACTCATACAGGAGAGAAACCCTTTGAATGTCCTTATTGTGGTAAAAGTTTCAGTACCAATTCCAGCCTGGTAACACACCAGAGGACTCACACAGGAGAGAAACCCTTTGATTGTCCTTATTGTGGTAAAGGTTTCATTGACTATTCCAGCCTGGTAAGACACCAGAGGACTCACACAAGCGAGAAACCCTTTGAATGTCCTGATTGTGGTAAAGGTTTCAGTCAGAATTCCAACCTGGTAACACACCAGAGGACTCACACAGGAGAGAAACCCTTTGAATGTCCTGATTGTGATAAAGGTTTTAGTACCAATTCCAACCTGGTAACACACCAGAGAACTCACACAGGAGAGAAACCCTTTGAATGTCCTGATTGTGG